TCCAAGCAAAGGACATTCCACTTCACAATGGAAACCAGCACAAACAGTTCACACAACATTGCTGCTCATATCAACAGCAATCCAATAAACCATAAAAGAGATTCTTTCTGAGAGTTGATACAAAAATTTAGAAGAGTCCAATTTGCCTTTAATTATGGAATACAGCACATTAGAATCCCTCACACTTGGTGGAATCAGGTCCAATTTTTAATTTGGAAAATATCTAACAATTGTATGTATGTGTATATATAAACGTGTACTCTTGTGTTTGTACATAAATACTATGTATATGTATATAATACATACTTTTATAAGTGGATGTACACTCTACACGCACATACACATGCATACACATTTATGTGTACATTTATATATTTTCTTAACATATAGATAGACATCTATTCCTCGTCTTTTTGGTCTTGAGGAAAGTGCACAGGCACATTCCTAAATTCCCATCATTTGTTTTTGTTTTGTTTTGTTTTGTTTTGTTTTTGTACCGGGGATCGAACTCAGGTCTTTGTGCTTACAAGGCAGGCAGCAGAACCACGGAGCTAAATCCCTGGCCCCCATCATTTGTTTTTAAATGTAAAGATGACAATCACTCTTTCAGAGACTATAATCTTCATATAATAATCAATATATTGTATGATGTCCTGTTGCTCCATCATTTGACATTAGCTGTCCAGGGCCTAAGCATTATGAGGCCCATAACTTTAGCAATTTCAGTCAAAGCTGAAATTAACTGTCCCATTCTTTGATCCAAATGTGATAACCACCCCAATGACCAATGATGTTCAACTACACTGATTAAATATATTAACATAAGAGTCACTACTTAGGCAATTCAAACTTGAACTCTACACGTGCAAGAGAACATATTTCTTGGGCAAACTCCATGACATAAAGAATAATTTTGTTCTTCATATATTTTATATTTTTCCCCATGACACTGATCCTGTATCCCTGAAGACAGGGCAAAACAAAGATACAGCCTTCTAGTAAAAGTCTGCTGAAGTTCAATAGTTTATAAGTCTACAGCTCCTAACTTAAGACACAGATCAAAAATTAGCATTTAACTCTTACCTACATCACTCAGAATCCATACTCTAGTCAATCATTTCCAATCTCTTGACATTCATACTCCTTATGCTACAGTCAGCCAGTCAACAAGTATTTATTGCTTTGCCAAACTGGCAAAATACACACAGCAGTAACAATAAATTCCCTTTAAAGACATATATTATAGAAAAAGATCATTTTAAAAAATCACTGCTTGGTGGGGAGGGGAGGAGGGGGTGAAGGGAGGGTGGGGACAAGGGAAAAAAATGAGAACCAAGACCTGGCATGTAAAGGTACAAGATCCCAGTAATGAATGTAACTGTACTGTCTACCTAGAATGTACCAATAAATTCAATTTAAAATTTAAAAAAAAATCACTGCTTGAATAAAGGCAGAAACAAAAAAAATTTTTTTAAATATTTCTTGAAAGTTCTGGTCAAACTCTCCTCCCATTACACACACAATAGAGACATGAAAAGGATGTCCTCAGGATTATTTACTTAGAAGAAGCAGTTTACCTAGGAAGTATTCTGGTAATTTTATAATTGCTGTCTGACTTTTGGAGTAAACTTTTATCTAAATGGAACTGTAAGCTACATGCCTACCCTAGTTTCCTAAAATTTTCTGTATGGATCATAACTAAATCAATTTACTTAAGTTAACTATATTTACAGTTGTGAAATGCAAGCATTATAAAAATTTTTTAAGTCACTAATGTTAGATTTTAAGCAAATACAATGTGCTGCTTTTCTAAATCTCAGTTTCTGGACAAAGGAAAGTACATTTCCCATCTTTGGGGAAAAAAAGCACACTACACTGTTAAAAGCCACAGAGGGGTTTTAGGGCAGTGAAACTCTTCTGTATGATACAATAATGCTGAACATGTGTCATTATACAATTGTCAAAACCCATGGAATGCAGGACACAAAGAGAAGTTTAGTGAAACAGACTTTGGCTCATAGCAGCGCGTTGGCATCATCTCATCCACTGTAGAAAATGTTAATATGAAAGGTGATGCCTATGAGAGTTACATTCCACACTCATCTCTATAAGCCTAAAACACTCCAAGTTTAAAGTCTAACATAGAGAGTTCAAACAAAATTAACTGACCTTTGTATTGGTTAAGCCTCAACCTGCAAAAATATTAAAATAATCAGTTATAAATTTAAAGAGTTTCAGAAATTATGCCAGTTTTGATAAGCTTTGATGCCCTACTATGCACTCTTGATTTGTTTTGATCGAACAGGGGCATCAACATCTGCACCTTACTCTTTCCTAATTTAAGTGTTTATGTGTCCGTGTTTGTTTTAATTTGAAGCTTGCAGATGTCCATCCACGGTGCAAATCCAATCATTCGCATTAATCAGTGCTAGAGAGAAGGCAAGGGGTGAAGTGGTGCTTGGCCTGGCAGCCGTCACCATTACCTTACGTCTTACACAGTGTTGTCTATGGGAATCCGACAATGTGGCTCCAGAGGTATCTTAAAAGTAAGACGCTCTTAAAATACAAGATGGGTAGGAAAGTGATGACTCAGTCGCTAATATCTATGCAAGTCCTCCTAAACATGCTCGAGAAAAAGGAGAAATGTTAGTAGCAGGTGTTACTGTGGTACTTTCAAGCCTGAGATTTTTACTGTGGTTAAGTTTACACCTCTCTGATGACCTTATCTGAATCCCCAAGGAACTTAAATTCAGACCAAAAAAGTTATGCATCTTTCAGTCAGAAATTGCCATGAAGTCCTAAGTTCTCCAAGGAAAGAAACTAGGGATACAAAGAATGCTTGAAAAGACTCAGAACGTCAGTCCATTAAAGAGTACTGTGATTCACCTACTACTAATTAACACAAAGATAATTTTCACACTTAAAAATATTCAGAAGCATTGATACAGGGGTGTCAAAAAGAAGCATCAATAACCCAAAGAGAAAAACAACTCAGAAAAGTTTCCAGGAACCTGAAACTTTTTCCACTAGAAAATATGTTCAAACTATGAATTAAATTGTAATACCTAGTCTAACAATTAAGGAAACTAAAACTTCAGGAAAGGAAACAAAAGAACATGTAATTTAAAATATCTGTGGCAAGAGTCTGAACTTTTCCTTTCTCCCAAAGTCTCAGAGTGGCCAATCACTCCTAGTTCTCCTAGTCAAAAGCCAAAACTAAACAGAATTTTCAAGAGGCCTCAGACCAAATAAACACAAAGCACAAGTCAATACCTCAGTTGCCTGGATTATTTTTCTCTTATTTAATGTACTTGCTCATTGTTTTAAGGTTTCCTTCAGAGTTTGGACTTTCATTTAAAAAGTCTGTTAACATTTTCAGCTGCTACTCTTCATAACTCCCTCACAATCCCCAAGTTAATTTCAGTTCACTCTGGCTCAGTTTTTATTTTTGAAAGACTACTTTATTTCAGAACCTGACTGGGAAAAATAGAAGCATTCCCCTTGTGAAATTCCTTTTGCCAAGTGGTGAAAATTAAACTCCCCCAAAATGATGATTCCAAATGTTAGAACTACTCCCTCTTCTGCAGTTCAAACAACTATCCTATAAGCTCAGGTCAGATCTTTGAAGTCATCCCATCCAAGGTCTCCTAAACTAACAATCATCATGCCCCAAAAGACAAACTTGTCATTGAGTGGGTCCTAAGAATCCGGCCAATTCGGGGACCATCGCAAAGGAAAATTTCAATTTGACAGTTGACACCTAAATTCAAACTGGGAGGCAATGAAATGAATAGAAATAAACATCTGAAACATAGAAGCCTTTCTGTAAAATACAATCAGTTCCTATATACAATCTGTCTGCAGTAGCAGTCCTTGAAAATTGTGGGTGTCTCAAGATCATCTGGATTATTTATCAAACCTGCACTGCCCACGACTCTGGGACAATGAGCTTATTAGAAGCCCGGCCCAGTGCCTCACTAACAAGCACCCACATGCTACCAGGACAGGCAAGACCGTGACCTGTGCTTGCTCCTGTCTGCCTTGTGTCTCCCTCCTTTGGCCTCACTCTTCCTTGTGTGTGCAACACGTGCCGTTATCCCTGGATGTCAGCCCACTACCCTGAAGCTGCAGAGAAAGGAATGAAAGCAATCTTCACTGTCACTTGCTCCCTATAGAAGGACTTTTCTCTGTCACTCTTTCCATCATAAAGTAAAATCTGGGGAAGAGTTAAAGTCCTATTATCTCTCACAATATGATTTTTGTCTTCTACCTGGAAAACAATACAAATTACTTGTGTTGCTAATTCTTGAAACTTAGACTTCATTTCCAAATTCAAATACAAACTACCACATAGAGCTGCTGGCTAAATTTTTCTTTTTTTTTTTTTTAGAGGAATGAAAGAAGTAAATGAGCCTCTGGACCTCCTGCCAAACATACTTCTCCCTGGGCACTCAGCACTGTCCTTGGGTTCGTGCACAAGTTATTTCTTAACTTTGGTCACCCACAGAGCTCACCTAAACTGTCCATCTATCTCAACTCATCTCTATACTGTGCAAGTTGAGACCAGTCATCCCATGTTTAGAAGAATTAAATAGCGACTACACTTTCTCTACAAAGTAAAAGTCTATATCACTTTCTACTGAAACTTACTGGATTCTTGTCCAATGTATAGAGTAGTTGGTCTTTTCTAAATTTTAGAAATTAATCATACTCAGTATAATAAAAATTTTACTTCTGTTTAAAAATACTATATGTCACTCTGAATGCAAGGAGATAACACGATGCTTAGAATTGTTTAGCAACATATTTCTTTCAGTTCACGGCCTGTGGAAAATAACTGTGTACATCATATATAACTTAACTCTAAAACAGAGCTGAGTGCTGAAGTCAGTTTTGAGTAGGAAGAAATGCCAACATTTAAAAGAAAAAAAAAAAACAACCTTATACTGAATATGGATAAACCCAGGAGAGTAGAAACTGTCAAAACTTTAAGTTCTTACCAGAAACGGGCTCCAGCAAATGCAGGAGACACACATGATAGCCAGGAGCTGGATGACCATTTCAAGATGGTGAGACCTGCCTTGTCTGTGATGCTGGCTTTTAAATTTAACCCTTAGAAGTGTAATTCCTGTGATGGCGTTGCAAAAGAATGAAACACCAAGGGCTAAGAGGCCCAGAAAAGAAAAAAGCAAGAGATAAAATCTGTCTTCCCAGTCTTCAATGTCTTCGGTGTTGTAGAAACACCAGGTCCTCGTGGCTTGAATTTTATACTCCTTGTGCCCAAGAATGGGCAGCAGAGCTATAAAAACAGCAAACAGGCACACTCCGCTCAGCATCATTTTCACGTGTTTGGATGTAATTTTTGTGGAATGAAATATCGGTTGGGTAACACCAATACACCGCTCGATGGCCATCACACTGCCTAGGAAAAGTGGGCACAAACCAGAGAACACCATGCTGATACCAAAAATACTGCAAAGGACATTGGACTGATCAAAGCGGATCCAGTCTTTATCGGACGCGTACACAAACACTGCGATGGCCCCGTTGATGAGATGGCCGAAGAAGTCCGTGATGACCAGCCCGCTAGCCAGAAGCAGGAACGACGCCTTGGACTTCTGTCTGAACCTCTGGTACGCCTTCATGAGGATGGCAATGGCCAGGCTGTTGGATAAGATCCCCACTGTCATGAAGATAATTGAAAAAAATACCGAAAGCCGGTTTTCCGTCTGGCAGGTTGTGTTTGAAAGAAGCGCCGTTGCAGGAGACACTGGCTGCTTGGAGTTGTTCATGGACATGGTTGTGGAGATAACAGCTGGTCGCTCAAGTCATCTCCTTTTTCACAACTGTGCAGGCTCACAGTCCAGACATCTGTAGGATAAGGAGAGAGGAATTATAAACACCAAATTTCTGGCCTTGTGACATTTCATAGACTGAAGTGTCCAGCATGCTGCGGTGGGATTTGCCCAGCCTATCACCAGCAAGGTTACGTCACACTGACAGCAGCACCCATCAGCCTAGGCTTCATTTCCTTCCAAGCTAAAAAGGTGCCAAAATTGAGATCTCTTGGTTAACCTCCTTCTGTGAACAGCTACCTCCTAAGTGTCCTTCCGACACTTCACTGACAGCTTAAAACCTGTAGGGATTATAAAGTCAGAAGTAAGATTAGATTTAAGTCCACTCAAGTTGTCGAAAGCATAACAATCTACTTAACTAAACGCACTTTTAATATTTTTTTCTTTTCCCTGATGGGCTTTGTCCCCAAAGTGCAGATTATTTCCTTAGTAATCCACCTGACTGTCACGCAGGTATCAATCTTCCCTAAACTTCGGGAGGGGGACCAGCAAACTCCCTGATGTTACACGGAGCGTTTCTCAATTTGTTCCCAAAACCTAAATCACGCGCCAGCGACCCGCAGAAGGCAGGATGTGAGAATGTGGGAAGGATCCTGGTGTAGCCAGCACCTGTACAGAAAGTCCGGCTGGGGATGGGGAAGAGGCCGTCCGCGCTCGCCCCGGGGACGTCTGCGGAGATGAGGTTAAATCACAGCCTCCAGGCGCTCGCCTTGGCAGCACCTACGCGGAGATACAGCTTCGGGGTAGAAACGTCCAGGCTCAGTATTCATTTGTTGCTCTTTCCCTAGGGAACTGAGGCTGGAGTCTCAGACGCTAGAATCACAGGACCAGGGCCCCCCCTCCCGGAGCAGCAGGGACCCGCGGTTCCCGCCTAGCGTTCCCGCGCCAGCCCCGCTGCACCGCCGGCCAAAGTGGAGCAGCTGGGGCCGCTCCGAGAGCGGCCGCCACCCGGGTCTTACTCACTGACTTTCGCCCGTCCCCAACCCTCGGCCCCAGGCATCTGCTTGCAACATCCTCCCTAAGCCTACTGAGTTGCTCAAACTTTGCGCCTTTGCTCAGACGCCAAAGGGTTGTTTTGTTTCCCTCCCACCCCGGGGGGCGCCAGAGGCCTGAGCCGGCCCGAGAGAGACGCCCGCAGGGAAGCCCGGAGCGACGCCGACCTCGCGATCCGCCTGCTTCCCTCCCCGGACCCCTTCTCTACCGCTTCCCCTCGGCCCGGCTCGCGGTGGGAACGGGTCAGCC